GTGTGCATTGACTTATGGGAAATGCCAATCAACTGGGCTCTGTAGTTAGTGGTAAAGTCTTCACAGACTAGTGAAATTGGTCCTCTCGTGGGGAAATTGTTTATCTTAGGATGTCTCATAGAATGTCTCATAGGATGTCTAATAGGATGTTGTATTCCACTTAGCCACGAATGGCTCCGACAAGTACAATTAACGCAACCTGCCTTCTGAATTATCTGAATTGTATCGATGTGGACGTAAATTATTTCTTTATAACAGTTGCGGTTCCAAAGGCATTGATAAACAGGGAGCTCGCAGTGCTGCTCTCTTACTGTATCATACATCTACTATGTTTTTCATAAATTCACAGCTAACATATATGCAATAATATTTCCATGTGGGTGTGGCTACTTCATTAGCTATTTTATGTACTCTATTTCAAAAAGAGTCAGTCGATGAGGTGAACAATTTAAAACCCCTTTGAAAGTCCTCTTCATGACGCGTCATTAAAAAAAATCTGCCAAACGTGAGGCTGCTGTTGGATAAATCCCCCCCCCCCAAAAAAAAAACCCAAAAAAAACCTATAATTTTTATTTTGTGCTTTCACTTTGATTTTATTTATTCCTGTGATGTATCTTTTTACTTTATTCACTTTACTTTATCCTTCCTCTTGCATTGTTACATATCGAGGAGAGGTGCAGTTTTCGGTCAAGGAATACATGGACATGTATTATGGAAGAATTTAGGTTGAAATTGTTTGGACAAGAATGTTGAGGATGGTTAGTTTTTTTCAAAAGCCATAAGATAGATATATCTGTGTCTATACGTGAAGCCTTTGTATCCACATCTAAACTACCCGATAGATAATGATAACACATTGTGTTCAGAAGCTTCAAAGTACGGGTCCTGTCTTCTGATAGACATTATTTCCTATTTTATTGGGTCTATCTTTATCGCCTCTTTTAACTTTATTTAGGCTTGTTTATAATGCATTCCTTTTCATTCCTTCAACAGGTCAAGGTGACCAAAAGAAACTCAAAGACACAAGAAGACCAGGTCATCCGTCTGCTTCAGAAGGGAGATTTCTTCGGCGAGCGAGCCTTGCAGGGGTGAGCTTTTATTTTGAGTTTTTCTTCCCTGTCAGTGCTGCTTTTTTAAATAATGAGTTTAGCTCCCCCCCCCCCCACCTTCCTCATCCCCAATGCATGGCTTGTCCAGAGCAGCGCAGTTATGATACGTTCAGTCGATAGCAAAAATACCCTTTATTAGTTCCTAGCAAAGAAGTGAACCGGGGATGTCCAGGACAGCTGTCTTGTACACTACCCTTGGAGCTGACAGTAGAGCTCCACTCCTATCCGGCGACTGCATACTGTCATAAATATCATCTTGCGAGAAAGCGTTGTATTGGAAAGAAGGGAAACTGCCTGTGTCTGATCCTGTTTAACTGTGAAAAAAAAAAAAAACTCTCCGAGTCTCATATATAGGTCTAATCGTTTTAGAATGTATTTTTCCAGTAATCATTGCATATTTTGGAAAATGTTATACATTTTAATAATCACTTTAAATGTGTTTCTTTTGCTGCAGGGCTGAAGTGAACTCAGATCCTATTTTTGTAAAACATATTGTCCCTGAACAATTAATGCATTTTGCACTGGCAGACAGACAGACAGACAGACAGACAGACAGACAGACAGACAGACAGACAGACAGACAAGCAGGCAGGCAGGCAGGCAGGTAGACAAGAATTTGTAGTACTATAGTTCTTCGTTAATCAGTGAGGGATCTTTTGTGAATAAACTACTAATATGTTTTCTTTTACGTGTCCTTAGCGAGGATGTCCGGACGGCCAATATCATCTCAGCTGATCCTACTGGAGTGGACTGTCTTGTCATTGACCGGGAGTAAGTTCTTTTTCTGATTTTTCTTATACGGTAAGATACATTGGTTTGCCCCACAACCGCTCACACCTATCTTGAAGAGGGAAAGTATAGTACATTAAAACACCCCTAACGGTTAAAACATGATTACCCGCCTTCGTGCTCTTTGGAGGAAAGCTGCTTGTTTAGTTAATTTGCTGATTTGTCTTTCTTTTTTCTTTTTGGTAAAGCAAATACCCTTTTCTACTTAGCTAACCTTACTTTATCCTTCCTCTAGATGTCAAGGGAAAAAGCAATTATCGGTCGCGGACTAGGTTGCTGACTCTTGTTGTTGATATTATTTTGTTCTTTTGAAGGACCTCATTAATAACGCCATCCACTGAACTTTAGTGTGCTCTGCCCTTGCGTTTGTTGTTGGTTTTTTTTTTTTTTTGTTGTTGTTGTTGTTTTGTTTGTTTGTTTTTTTTTGGGAGGGGGTTGGGGGGAGGGGTTGAAAATCAAGTTTCAATATCCAAAGTAGCTGGTATCTCAATTACAAAATGAAGTTGTGCAGCAATGATCGGACCAAGCTAGTGTTGGCGACCTGTGTGCAGCAGAAAAGAACCCATAAAATGTGGTTATCTCTTAAAATTGTGTCTTTCTCAGAAAGACAGAAGATGAACGTCTCTTCATAAGAACATAAAAGTTCCGTTTTCACCATTAAGACTTTGATAAGGAGTTTCTGGATCAAGATTAATCGATTTGCACTGAAAAAGGAGCGAGTTTTGCACTTTATGCCATATTAAATAAATGATTGCTTCGATGTCTATCTTGAAAGCGGATGTGACGTCAACACTTGGAGTTTTTCAACTGTAAGAAATTTTTGCACTACGTGAACTTACGAGTGTGAACAACGACATCCCTGTTTCCTTATTTTATGATCTATGGGGGTGAAAGCGCATTAGTATGATTGCGTTAGCAAAATGTTGCTTGTGGTATGTAGCTTTCGTCGCTAATATTTTTATATTATGTAGTCATATATCAATGAGAAGAAGCTCGGTAGCTCGTGTTACAGGTTTAACACTAGATTCTAGATCTAGATCTAGATCTAATTAGCATCTGGAACAGAGCAAGAGCCTGCTTTTCTTCTATAAGTTCTATCTTTCTATCATTATTTTTGTATTGGAGAAGTCATAACCGTTCATGGGTGGAAACTATTGCAAACATTTTACCGAATGATGCGGTGGTGGAGGGAATTAGGGTGTAGATCTAGTTAGTTCCTAGCAAAGAAGTGAACCGGGGATGTCCAGGACAGCTGTCTTGTACACTACCCTTGGAGCTGACAGTAGAGCTCCACTCCTATCCGGCGACTGCATACTGTCATAAATATCATCTTGCGGGAAAGCGTTGTATTGGAAAGAAGGGAAACTGCCTGTGTCTGACCCTGTCTAACTGTGCAAAAAAACAAACTCTCCGAGTCTCATATATAGGTCTAATCGTTTTAGAATGTATTTTTCCAGTAATCATTGCATATTTTGGAAAATGTTATACATTTTAATAATCACTTTAAATGTGTTTCTTTTGCTGCAGGGCTGAAGTGAACTCAGATCCTATTTTTGTAAAACATATTGTCCCTGAACAATTAATGCATTTTGCACTGGCAGACAGACAGACAGACAGACAGACAGACAGACAGACAGACAGACAGACAGACAGACAGACAGACAGACAGACAGACAGACAGACAGAC